GTAAGAGACGAATAATAAAATGGTCAAGTGACAAGAACATTCTAAATTAAGTATGGATAATTGAAACGCTGCGTGCTTGATTTGTGGCCAAATAGGCTTGGTGTTAAGAGGGGATGGTTTAGTCTCCATCAAGTGGATCAACCCCAATTACTGTCGATCCCGTTGGCTGGTTGCTACAAATTATGCCAACTCAACGATGTCTCACCATGCGCAAATCAATGGTGTTACGGTGACCAAGGCTTCAAGTAACCGGTTTCCCGTTACATTTGGACTGGCAATTTACAAAGTGGAAAAAAAAACAATCTCTTGCCCAAACTGCCTAATGCTTGATCAATTCACCCTTTTCCATTCTTAGTGATTATTTTTGAGTCGTTCAAAACAGTAGTTCAAAGTGCGCTGCTTGAATTATTTAAACCGTTTCTATAACTTATTTCTGCTTATCCATTTTGTATGGCATGATACCAATCCATAGTTACTACACAGCCCATTTTCAACAGAAGGATAATACGCGAACAACGCATCGTGCATTCATCCGAAGGCTTCATTTGTACCCGCTACGCTACAGCGGTTTCAGGACGGAACATACGTGCTTATTTGACTGATTTAGCGAATTCCATACTATCTGTCCTACGAAAGGCACTTTTTGAAGTTAAACTTTCAAATTCAATTTGCAATGCAAAAATGATGAATTGCCGACGTTTTATGTTGGAGAGTTGCACTTTCAGTGCAATTTTTCGAAACTTGCTTGATATGCACTGACCTTCTTGTAATCCAGTATCTTGCCGCGAAGATTTTCAATTTCACGAAGTAGAGTGTTCTTCGTCAGTGCTTCCTTAGCTTTCACAGACTTTGCACACTCGTTCCGTGTTATGATAGAATCACGCCTAAAAGAGACACGAAACTAGGCCGGCTATCAAAAAGGTCAACACCACAGACTGTAGACTGTTTCAGTAGCACACCGATGCTGCAACGTATCTCTGGTCATGTCCTCGGTGCTGCTTCTGTCCTCTGTCTCTATAAAGCCGCAATGAAGCAATTTATAGGTTCGTATCCCTTATTTAACTTGAAGGTGACAACAAAACTACAGATCTTGGCAAATATTGCGGAATATTAATCTGATAACGCTACCGCTATGAACTGCAATCGTTTTAGGATTTATTAAACCCAACTAATGGCATTCAGAATCTATTCGAGTGACTTCGTGGACGTCAATAAATCGAGCCAACAAGTGACTATCAATAATATCGTGAAATAAAGTATTCATGGCTAGTCCACAAGGTGTTACAAGATATTTGGTAATTCAAGTGCTATAACTGTCGGTTAGTCAAATTACATTATTCCGATGTCGCCAGGCATCTACTACCAGCTTTCACTATAGTGCAAAATAATATTTTTTAGTTTAATAATGCAGACTGCAAGCTTAGAGGGACAATTGCGGCAAAGCCATGAAGTAGTTTGTGCAGTCCTTGTTCCGCATGGACAAACCTCCTCGCCACCTCCAAGTGTCGTTTCATAATACAACGCCAGTAGTATAAAACTCGGAGTCGAGAACGCATATAAAGACATTCTGATTGCTACAATAAAAAACCAAGGTGTTTTGGCAAAGCTACACCTATCAAAATGAATCATTTTGATCATTTTTGATAATTACTTCCTCACAAGTCCTAAAGTGCTGTGTGAATCCCAAATACATCCATCAATGTGGATGAACAAATTGGAAAAAGGACAAAAATGACTTCTAAAACCTTCGTATCAGTCCAAAATTTACAAAAAATTGCCTATATTCATGCGACGCTTTGAATGACATATCATAACTCAATGGGAGAAGTCTCAGGAGTTCCAACATGATTTAAACTAATTATTGTCGACCGTTAAAACGACAATTCACTACTGAGGAATGGCCGTTGGAAAATTGAGATGGAAGACCTACTTTTGGACCGACTTTTCCAGCGCTTGAATTAGCTGCTCCTGTTGTCGAGCGATCTGCGCTTTGCGTGCCTCCATGCGATGGATCTCTACACGAATGGCCTTCAACTCCGCTAAACCACTGGCTGAGTCAACGGCCTGACGTGTCTCACTGACCAGCTCCACCTTCTTCTCCCACAACAGTATGTGACGTCTGGAACGGTGAACAAGGGAGAAATAGGTTCACACCATATCTGCCTGCTACTATTATGTGTGTGCTCTAGAAGTGCATCATCGTCAAACATAATTGGACTTTATGGGAGCGGTTGGATACGTGGTTATTTGATGATGTTCAAGTAAAGTCTAGTGATAAGATGAAATTCATTGAAATTGTTTTGCATTATCCGATAAGGGAAAGGGGGAAAGCTTAAGACATCCGAATTCACTGACCTGAATGGTGTGTTTACGACAAATTTAAAACACAACGGGCACCACGAACATTGGGTCATAGTAGGGACCATTGCTATGTAGAAATGGGTTCTGGGCATTAAATATGCTCCAACCGAAAATCAAATTAAAGCTATTAATAACCAATTCAAAACCCACCTTGGGAGCAATGAAGTAGTTACCAAATTGTAGTTGGCGATAGTGACCTAACACATACTACACAGCAAAACAAATGGGAAGATCAGGATGCCTGGGGGTACTCCAGATTGGAATATCGTGAAAAGGATGCGTTGCAAATAAGAGATTTGCAGAAAGCGATAAATTGTGCTTACAAAATCGAACTACGAGACGGTCCGGCAAAAGCTAGTAAAATAGAAAATTCGGTTGGAGTCTAACAGGAGAAATGGTATATGAGATGACCAAAAAGATCCAACACTTTTCTATGCAGCTCGCAGAACTGACCTGTCGTAATTTGTAAAATCTAGTAAAATGCGCATGGTCATCTGCGTGCAATATAAAACATAAATATGCGCAATTTAGCTACCATGGAATTTATTCTGGCTATCAAAACCCCCCAAAACTGTCAAGATAATCTAGTTTGGTTCAAATTTTCCCCATTTATTTGGTTTCAGGGTCGAGCATTCAAGCTTGTTGTAAACTTTGCGCAGTATTTGCAGAAGTGAGATAGTGAAACTCTTCGACAAGAGGTGATTCAAAAATTTACATTCTGGCAATAAATCACTGCCTAGTCGATGTCTCATTTTTACAAACACCCCACTTTCACTATGATATATTATGCGTCGATATTGAAAGCAAAACAAAAAAATTTATAAATGCCTAATTTGCATTCACATCGATTGCAAAAGGGTCATGGATGGAGCTGAACAAAGGGGTTGAACCTACATGCGTAAACAAATGACAATAAATTTCAAAGGCTATCAATTCATTCTTCACTCCTTTACTTCGCCTCATAAAAAGTGGTTTATTCGTAATGAGGAGTGAAATTTGTATCGTGACGGTCTTTAAGTGAGCGTACGTATCTTTAGTCATCCTATGGCGCTCACTGAACGACACCCCACACTTTTAAGCTGGGCGCTGCCTCATCCCGGGAACACTAAGCCCGTTTTGTGCGTGAGCACGTGGTGCACAACAGATGGGAGTGTTCACAAGAGCTTATTCACTTAGTGAAGATTCAACATCAATCAAAGCTGAGATTTAGCCACTCGGTAGGACACAACTGGAACTTGTGCAAGACAGAACGTTCGATTGGTAGAGGATGGTGGATTGAAATGATGATTATTTCTTCGGGTAAAAAGTATTAAACATAGTTCGGGAGTTATCCAACTTCATTCTTAGAATGCTTGTATTTGTGATTAAAAAGATCTGGGCAAGTAATTTGCCCCATTGCATCTCACTTTACCCAATTCCCTTCGTTACCCAACTTTTACCCGTTATTCCGAAAAAGCTAAAGCTCTAAACAACTTTACATTCTCCATGGTATACAAAATCCGCGAGCTACGCCATCGGAAACCATTTTAATCAACTTAAAGGACGTGAATTCCAAAGCCTTAAAATTGAGAGTAATTTAGGCGGTTTAAAGGAGATATCACAAAAATAAATGAATCAAAATAATCACCTTTAATTTAACTTCTCTGTACGTGCTTTCAATATAACGCAATTTTTGGTGGCTGAGGCGTTTAAATGAGTTAAAAATCAGGGTAATGCAAATTTATGGTTTATGTTACATTGCATAGCAATCGGATCTGCCAGTAATAATTATTTCATTAGCTTTGTAGTAGCATCTTTGAGCGAAGACACGTTCAACAGTAAAGCCTTTCTGCTTAAAAGCAAGAAACATTGAAGAAGACCTTCAAAATTAAATCTGTGGATTTAAAATCGTCTTCTCAAGCCAATATTATTTGAAGGAATCCACTGCCTTTTGCGAACTCAAATTGTACATTTTTCAAAGGTTTTAGCTACTTCATCAAACAATTTGGATGCCTAATTTAAAGCTGAACCAAAACCAAGTACAGTTTCAAGAAATTAATCAAATCGAGAAAATTCAGTGCTTTTTATGAGGAAGAAAGTAAAAGGGTTACCAAAAATCACTGTTTCATGTTGGATTGGGGTCTGTAATTGAAGCACAGCAGACTCAATGATGGAAAAATCTAGAATTGAACTATATGGCAAATTTACTAATCTAAAAATTCCTACTGAACCCCATACACATGACATTATCAGGGCATTGGTCTTGCAAAAAACATTAGCTATTACTCGGCAATCCGCTTGTCCAACAAAATAAATTCTGCAGGGCGTTTGCTAATAGTCAGATCTTGGATAGACTTTTCAGGGTATTTTACGAGTGTCCTGAAAAATGCCCACCATTGAAAATCTCCTTACTGCATTCCAATGGTCATACGTTATTGAGGATAAGCTCAAATTCTCTTGTGAAAAAAGTTTTGGCGGAATATTCATATGATAAAGCAACGGTCGCCCTAGACAAATGAATGATTTTGCGCACAACTCACTCTGTCTCCAGCAATTCTGCTAATAAATCCTCCTTTTCCCGTAGAGCATCCTCCAACTGAGCCTCGGTCTCCACCGCCTGTGTCTCCTTCTCTCGAATGCGTCGCAAAAAGTCTTCCTCCGCTAGCCGGTTCTCTTGTTCCAACGTAGTCCCACTGGATCGCTGCTCAAAGATCCGTTTGTTCAACCTCACCATGCTGTTCTGCAGGTGCACCAAGTCGCGGTTCAACTGTGTCTTCTCTTTCTCAATACTATTTATTTCAGCTAAAGGTAGAAAAAAGTAAAATAGTGCTTAAATGCAAGAAAATTTGATTTTCCCTGCCGTTTTTATAGGAAGGAATAAGAAATTACAGTCAAGCCGCAATTTCTTCCTCTCCAAGACGGCCAGACAGACCTGTTGGCGGGAGAGCTCCTCAGCGAGATTTTCCTTCTCTTTCACTCGATTAATGAGTTCAGTCTGTTCGCGTAGCCACTGCTGTTCCAGAGTGCTGATCTCCTCCTGTTTGGCTGCAATGCTTTTTACCAAGTGATTTCGCATAATCTCCAGGGGTCCTATTTCAATACCCTAGAAGATAAAACAAGTCCGAGGATAATTTATCCGAATACAGACTTGTGGAGGCTATTTTTTAATTCTAGAGACGGAATGTTGCATAGAAGTGTGATTTGCGAGCCTGTTTCTCGTTGGAAAGAGGTTGTACATTATAACAGTGGTAATTTTAACAAAGTGAACATCTGCAGTCACTTAATTTTCCTTTATAAAAAGCCGCACAAACTATTCTGGTCGCCTGCTCATTCATTCAATACCACAGAGAAAAAAAAATGTTAGTGGTCTGTCACCTCATTAGTATAATATTTCTGTTTTGCTATTCGTACAGGAAATAAAGGTAAATTCATTAAGCAATTGGATCTTACAGAATCCTTCTAAAAATACTTTTTTAACTCCCGTATTCAGAACGCATGTCACCGTATTAAATTGTGGTGACTTCAAAACCCTGCTATGCGTTTAAAATTTGACATTTGTTAGTAATTTAAATGGAAACGACAATGTAGAATGCAAAAAGAATTACTACCATGTGGTGGACACTTTAAAATATCGGACACCCACCCCGGTATCCTTCAACAGATGTTGCAGCTTGCGATTGAGCACATCAATATGATTCTGCTTGCGTTGAACCGTAAGATTGGTCTGTTTGATTTTCTGCTGTAGAGAGGCAAAATTTTCGGCGCGTTTTTTGATCGCACTCTCTAGTGCTTGAGCTTGCTCCTCCATAACCTTTGTCTCCGCTCGAATTTGAGCAACTTCAAGAGCTTCATTGGCCAAATTATTTTCTAGTACTGCTGCCTGTAATGCAAGAATACCTATTTGTATCTGATCGAGAATAACACTCGCCTGGTACGTGAATGAATGCTGATTGAACAGTATGATTGAATGTGTGAGCTCAATTCTTCTTCTGTGATCTTTAATTTAAGTTGCCAGTGGTAGACTCTGAGACTGTTGATTATCGATATACCCTATGCTAGGGGCAATAATACTCTCCTCCTGATTGGATGCTAGTAATGAACTCCACCCACCACCCAAAACACACAACAAGTGGCATTCGCGAAAGGGCTTCTTTCACATTCTTAAATAATTAGTGACAACCAGCGATAACAGCAAATACCTGAAAATAGCACCAACAAAACATGAAAATGAAACTCTGTTTTACCTTAAAAGCAACTCAAACTATGTGCTAGGCCACTAACCTTTCAAACGGATCTTCCAGGTTTACGTACAATATTACTGCTCGTCATCAACACCTGAATACTTCATTTTCCCTAGTTATTAGAACTTTATATGCAGTCAATAGATGGGTCCAAGTTTGTGGGTTCCAACGTGGAATGGCTACAACATGGATACCTTGAACTAACAACAAAGTAATTAACTGGAAAGCTTGACTTGTACGCGCATAGTATGTTGATAACTCTGGAATTTGTGGTTCGGCCTTAAATACAGTCATGGAAATGTACCCCGCAGATGCGGTGAGCAAAAAAACAAGTGGATGTGCCGAAAGGGCTAGCAGAGTAAAGTGGTGGAGCAATAAACATTAACAATTCATTGAAACGGCAAATTTGAGGCTTATTGGAAGTGTAAAGGAATGTGTTGGGTTCTGCCACGCTACGCAAGGGGCACTGCAAAAAAAAAGCCGCTTCACAAGATGTCACAGGATTTGCAGTGAATTTGTTTAATAGAATGACTGAATAATTCAGATGGATCAAAAATTCTAACCGTTTCTATAGGTTAACGTCATACCCATTACATACTTAAGAGAAGACCTGAATAAACAATGGCATTGCGCGATTGAACATAGGCTGAGATCGGTATTACTAGACAGACTAACAGAGACCACACAGCTTAAAAGAGAGGTATCAATTAAAGTCAAAAATTCAGTCTTCTAATGTCCAAAAAGTAGCCAACTTATTGTCAGGAGAAGTTTCTATATTTAAATAAAGTAGGCTAATTTAAGTCTACTTCAGAACCTAATGAACTCCTCATTTGGTGTTAGACATCTACCATAAGATCGTATCAAGCTACCTTGTAGGATATATCTTGACGCTACAGTCAAAACATCTTCGAGATTAATAGAGGAAAAACGTGGCAATATGTACTGTCCCATGACATAAATACCAAGGCAAACCTGAGCCTCCAATTCTCGACTCTGATCGTGCACATTGGTAGCCATTTTCTTGACATAGGCAGAAGCCTTCGTGGCAGAGAGTTTATCACGCAGAAGAACGTCAATTCGATCCTCCAACTCATGCTTTTTTATTAACTCCTTCTCTAGGCGTTTCTGCAGCAGCTTTGCCTCCTGGTTAAGATCGCGCTGGATCTGTAGAAGGGGAAGAATAGATTAGCTTAGATTATTTTTCTCTGGACTGAAATTTAAGTGCTATGGTCAAACTGATCAGATGCTGTTACATGGATCGTTCCATGGTTCTTGTAAGTCTACTGTACAGCTAGAGTACTACTGCCGCCTGACCCGAATCACCCTATATTCCGACTTCAAAGATAACTGGGAGAATGCAATACATGAGCAAGTTTTTTGTTTAATTTGTGAAAATATTGAGTTGAAAAAACTTGTTATTTTAGATAAAAAAACAGTTGAGTTAAACCAGGCACACTGTTAGGCTTGCTGAAGTAGAGCTAGCAAGTGTTTAAATGTTTTTGCATGATCTTTGAAACATTAAAATCCTTAAAATCAGTTTCCAATCAGCACCTCTTTTTGAAAAAACTGACGATTTTTTGGAAACTGCCATGTTTTCAAAAAAATATGATACAAAAAAAACAAATATACGGGAATGACAGAAACGTATGAGTTTCATAAATAAGATTTTGTCACTGATATTTCCTGCATGATTAGGACAAAATTATGCAAAATTTTACAATTAATGACAATCCAAATCCACAATAAGAGTTGTAGAGACAATAAAACATGGAAAAGGTAGAAGATGCCCTGAATCCTAACTCTGAATTACATACCTCACGGGATCAATAAATTCCGTAAGATTTTCGGTTAACATTCTTGAATGTATGTAAAATGCTCCTGTTTGCATGCATAAATTGAAAAAAAAACCTTGAAAATGGATCAACCTATCAGTGTGGGGAGCTTTATTATACTCTAGGTTGCTTTTTCAACTACCACAAAGTGTTCTTTAGG